AAAAAGAAAAAAAGACCCCTTAAATAAGGATATATTCAAAGGAATTATTTAAAAAAAAGGTGAGAAAAAAAGGTATATGAAAGAAGGATATTGTAAAAAAATAAACTGTGAAAAATATATGAACGAAAAAATAAAAAAGGCAATAAGTGAAAAAAAGGAGAAGAAAAAATAAAAAAGGAAAAAGTTAAAAAGTTAAAAAGTTAAAATGAAGAAGAAGAAGGAGAAGAAAAAAATATGTGGCGCGTTTGGAACTCATTCTAAAATGATTTTATTTTTTGTATGAAAATGAAAGTGAAAACGTTTTCAATCTCATACAGAAATCATTTTTAAAAATACTTTTGGTAGTTTTATCAAGAGATTATTTTCAATATAAAAAAACTCATTAATGTTTCTCTTTCTCTCTCTGCTCGAGAGAGGAGAAAACGAAAATAAAAAATAAAAAATGACTAAAAGTCATTTTTCATTTCTCTCTCATTTTACACTAAATTAAAAAATCATTTTCATTTATGCTTTTTATCTTTATTGCGCCAAACGTCGTTTTGGAAACGTTTTCATTTTTTATTTCTCGAAAAACGTGAAAAACAAAAACGGAATTAATTCTAAACACGACCAGGAGGTCGAGCCTGAAATGCAACTAAGGAAACTTAAGGTATGTTTGGTAGGAGGGAAAGATAGAGGGAGGGAAAGGGGTAGAAGGAGAGCCCTAATCTCTTGTTTGGTTAGAGATAAGAGGTGAAAGGAGACTCTCTCCACCCTGGCCCATCATTTTGCTTCCCTCCTCTAATGGAAGGATCTATACAATCTACCTATTAAAGATTAAAAAATACCATTTTATCCTCAAAATGTTTAGTATGAAATTGGTAAAAAGGACAAAAAAGTAATTAACCAAATATTCATTCATCCATCCTTTTAACTTTCCCTCCCTTCTATCAAACAACACAAAGGATTACCATAATCCTCTCAATCCTTCACATTTTCTATCTTTCTTACCAAACGGAGCCTTAGGGCCTATTTGGAAGATATACTCAAATCTTAATTCTTGATTTTGACATTTGAAATTCAATTTTATGAGAGAAAAAAAATATAACTTTCACTCTCTCTTACCAAACAACATAAAAAATTACCATAATCCTCTCAATCTCTCACATTCTCCATCCCTCATCCTCTTCATCCCTCTTACCAAACAGAGTTTTAGGGCCTGTTTGGAAGATATACTTAGACCTTAATTTTGATTTTGACATTTGAAATTTAAATTTTTCATTAGAGAACAAAATTTAACATTACCTCCGTCCTACCAAACAATACAAAGAATTATCATAAGCCTTTCAATCCCTCACATTCTCCATCTCTCAAACTTTCATCCTCCTCTCCATCTCTCAAACTCTCTCCATTCATCCTCCTCTCAATCTCTCTTACCAAACGGAGCCTTAAGGCTTGTTTGGAAGATATATTCAAATCTTGATTATTGATTTTGACATTTAAAATTTAAATTTTTTATGAGAGAAAAATATTGTAGCTGAATCAATAATTTGAATTTGAGTATATAAAATAAATAGGCCCTTAAGTTCTTTTTATTACACATATATATAAGATGTACATTTTTACAACAACCCTTCCTATCTAATAGAAAAGGATCCCATGATCCTGAACAAATCTTATATGAGATCGCAAATATCAAATTTGTATATAAAAAGTGAATCTGATTATATTAGTGCATGTCATTGATTTCTTTGTGTAACACAAATCGATAGGGTCTCATTAGTAAGTGTTACAAGATCTTGTACATTAGAACCCGTTGGTTATGGACCCGAATTCATTAATATGAAATTTTTTCTTTTGTGAAATCTCCTAATATATGAAAGATTAGTGAAAAAGTACTTTCGTATAGATGTATTAATGTATAAATAGATATAAATTATTGTTTAAATTCCCTTAAACTTGCCATTTGATTTGCATGTTCATCATCCTAGTGCCCCTTCTCTTCCCTTTCCATTCTCACTTATTACTCATGAGTCTAAAGGAGCCAGTTAATGAAGAACGTGCCTGAAGTACGTTCTCCCTGATACAAAAAAAAATTGTCTTTTTTTTTTTCTTTGTGATTTTTATTTCATGAGGATTATTAGATATGATCAACATGCCTCAAAATGTGTATATATATATATACATATATTATATATATATATATATATTCTTCCTCGTGAGAATATCATTAAAATCAAATTTGAACAACTATTACATTTATTTACATAATATAAACATAGAATGGAATTAATAATTTCAAAATAAAATAAGATATTTAAATAATAAATATATTAATGTATTTTTGTAGTAAAAATATATAAAACAATATAGACGGATGATCATCATTCTTTTTTGTTGCTTATAATAAATTTTTTTATACGTTTTGTTATTATTAATATTCTAAGTTTATTATTCATGTAAAGCACACTATTTATCATAAATTATATATACCCAAAAGCACTCTACAAAAAAAGAAAAAAGCAAAAAAAAAAAGAAAAGAAAAGATGGAGCATAGGAGAAATTATATTGTGTCATAATATTCGTAATTGAAATTCAAGATGTTGATATGCTAAAGTGGTAATTTTCTAGTAGTTATAGAGTGATAATTGATTAATTACTTAATTAATTATTTTTTATTAAGTAATAGAACAAACTTTATACCGTCATATATATATATACATATATAATGTACATATATGTGAAATGTTAAGAGAAATTTATTAGAAAAGAAGGAATTAAAGCATCAAATTATCAATCTTTTGTTAAATTTAAAATGTCAAATATACCAATGAATACAAAAACGAAAAGGAGGAACTCTTCTATAATACTTATAGACTTATAGATTATAGACCACGTCTCTGTACATAATTAATACATTGGAGAAGAAATTAAGAATACCTTATTGACCCGCCTATGCACAATATCAAAATTGAGCTTAGAAATTAAATAAAATAGTCTCTAACGAAGTATTTATTTATGTTTTTACAAATCAAATTTTGTTCTCACTAAAAATAGTTTTTTGTTCATTTTATTATTGAAGACTACAACTATTTCCCTAAAAACAGCACTACAACTATAATAATTCAGGGACTAAGGGTTAGTTTAGTTCGCTGATTCGAGTTTTTAATTCGAGTTAATATGTGACTTTATGTGAGAGTTTTTTATTGTAGCAAAAAAGTTAGACGTATCTATTTCTGATAGTTTTTTACTGTAACAAAACTCAAATTCTAAATTCGAATCAGTGAAATGAACGGGGCCTAATTAGGTTGAAAATCTTACAATTAAAAAGCTACTTCATCCTTTTTCATATTTTTCTTTTAATCATTTATTAATAGGAAATAAAGAAAACAATATTATACCCTTTGTTCTAACCATACTATACTAACCTTACTCACTCTCCCAACAAAATCTTTGGCCATCATCGGTTTTGGATTGAAAATTATCCTAGTTGTGTTAACACTTTTATAAGTGTCAATATTATGGCCTCTCAGTAATGGACTACATTTCACCTTAGAAAAAAAAAATGATAAGAAAACACATGGATTTAATGTTGTTCGGAATTGGTAATATAGCTAAATCTACATATTAAAAGAAAAATAAAGGATACCAAAAAACCGTTTTAGGCCATAATAAGAATCACAAAAATGAGAGCCACATAAATACAACTTAAATTAAAAAAATAAGGTAAGTCACCAAAAATTAATAAAGGATACCAAAAAACCGTTTTAGGCCATAATAAGAATCACAAAAACGAGAGCCACATAAATACAACTTAAATTAAAAAAATAAGGTAAGTCACCAAAAATTATGGCCCGTTTAGTTCGCTGATTCGAATTTTTAATTCGAGTTGAGATGTGACATTATGTGAGAGCTTTTTACTGTAGTAAAAAAGTCAGATGTGACTGTTTCTGAGAGCTTTTTACTGTAGCAAAACTCGAATTCTAAACTCGAATCGGCGAAATGAACAGGGATCTTCTAAAATCAAAAGATTGTCTAATTTGAAAATTATATATTCAAACCAACTTCAAAGGATTTCAGAATAAAAAAGACCGCTTTTAAAGATAAAGTATATAAATATTCACTTTCTGTATTTATCAACCAATTTTTTTAGAATTCTACTCCTAAAAAACATGGATATATATTTAAAGAAAGAAGAACGAAGAAAAACAAAAATGAATAATGGATCATTAATTTTTTGCAAGAATAATGGATCCTTAATTACAAAAATATGAACAAAATTTTTAGAGATATTTATCTCATATATTTATTTTTAAGTTGAATGATAATTCATAATTTTTTATAATATTTTTTTTTTATAAAAAATTTAAATTTAAATTTCAAACTGACAAATTAGAAAAATTGGAAACGTGCGGGGCAAATTTTCTTTTCTTTTTTTTAATTTAAAAAATTTGTTTTTGCTCTTCTCCAGTACGGATTTAATATTATTAAAAAAAGGAAAATAAGCGTTTCAGATAAATGTGCGGGGCCCACAATGATGGGCACAAAATCCCTAAACGACCAAACTATCCCCAAATTTCCTTTATTTTCCCGACCAAAATCCTCGGATACATCGACCATTAAAGGATTTCCCAGTGTCAAAATCGTCAAACCACAAAAATGTGTGGGAAGCGCACGGGTCGCCCGAGGAGTGACATAAACCCTCTGTCCCTCTCTGGTCGAAACGACACAAAAGCGTGCGCTACGATTACCGTGACGCGACTGTAAAAGAGTGCCGTACAGATTTCACGCGTAACCGCTCCGAAGGAATCCCAACCAAACGCCAGCCAATCTCGGCCGTCCATCTCCATCAACTCAACTCCCACTTTACGAACTGTAACGTGGCGAAACCTGAGGGAAGCCTCGAGCAGTAATTAGCTGTTAACCGAACCAAATTTACTATCATGGTCCCGCGGAGTTAGCACTACTACTACTGCCGAGTACATCGTCATTTCACTCTCATTCCGCATTGTTGAGAGAGAGAGAGAGAGAGAGAGACAGAGACAGAGAATTTCAGAGATCGTTTTTCCCATCTAGGGTTTTTAGGGTTCTTCGAGTTTTCAGGTACGGGATTTTTAGGGTTCTTTTCTTTTCAGTGTTTTTGAGGGTCAAACTTCTTCAATGTCGTTCATTTCTCGCTCTTTTCTGGTGTCGTTTTCGGTGTTTTTGGTGATTTCATTTTTCTCTCTGTTTTTTTTTTTTAAATTTTTTTTGGGGGATTTGTTTGGCTTTTGAGTTGCATCAGCGTTGGTTTTTGTTTTTCCTTTGACGAATATTCTCTTTTTGATTTTTTTTTGTCTTGTTTCGTTTTGTTTTATTTTATTTTATTTAGGCTTATTATTCTGCCTTTTCCGTTATATTTTATGTTTCTGGGTTTTTGGCTTTTGGATTTGACCAAGTTTTTCCTCTTTTTCGAACCCTCTTTTGTGTTTTGTGCCTGGTAAACCCAGCATTGTTTGTTTTTCATTTTTTTTTCTCCTATTTGGTTTTCTTCTAATTATTTCCATTTTTCTTGCAGGTTTGAGGGAGGTTTTATTAGTTTTGGCATTTTTCGGTAAGAATAGTTGAGAGTGGGTTTATATCACTTTGCATGCGTTATTTATATTTTTTTTTAACTTTTGTTTCTTTTCCTGGTTAAATCGATGGTCATTATGCTTTTGTTCTGTTTATTTTTGGGTCTCTGAGTGCTTTTCTCAAGTGGGTTTGGTTTCTTGGTAAACGTTTTGGGGGATTTTTCACGTTTGCATGTGGATTGAAAGTGATTTTTTCTTTGGTTTATAATCTATTGTGTTTTTTCTGCAGCATTCTTCTGCAAAATTTGTTTTTGTTTTCTCATTTTGTCTTTTGTTTGGTTTTTGTTAAGTCTGATGGTTGAGAAAAAACACTAATGGTTCTCTAGAACCTATCCAAGGCTGTGATGCTTTAAATGTGGCTTTTTATTTGGTGGGTCTTGGTTTTTGCTTGTAGTTTTAAAATGCTTTTGTTTTTATGGTTTAAATTGTGTTGTTCTCCACCATTCTAAGAAATGTGGATTCCTCTTTTTTTTTTTGTTTTGTTGATTTGGACTCGTAGCTTTTCGATTTGTTTCTCTGAAGTTTGGAAAACTAAAATGGCTTTTGGTGTTTCTTTTTTTTAAATTTCATTTATTTAGTGGGTTTCGATTTGTTTCTCTGAAGTTTGTTTTTCTTGTTTATTGGGTTTTGGGGGGTTTTTTTTTTCTATTTGTTTTTTCTTGTTTAAAATCCACATTGCATGTTTCCGATGACTGTTACGACCGTGTTCTTCTCGTGTAATTTTAAGAGTTCATCAGCATATTTGCCTTGCTAGTAGAGTCTTTGGTTCGCGCTGAAACATTTTTGTTCATGCAAGTTTTGCTTGGTTGTGTCCCAAACGGAGAAACGGGTTTCTAATTTCATGTTAGCTTGTTTCCTAGTGCTATCAAGCATAAGCTGTTCGGATGTGAGTTTGGGAAGTTAATTGAATGCAAGTCTTGCAATTTTATGTGTTTTCCTTTTATTATATAATATTCTGCTATGGATTGCATGAATAAAGCCTCCTAGACCTAGTGTCTCTTTTTGCTTTGTCTTGACTCAAGAAAGTTTCTGGGTTTTTTGCTGATTCTTTGGTTTTTCATTATATTAATCTTTGTGTATTATGCTCAGGATATGGGTGGCTCTGAGCTAGATGGAAATGGGACGGAGGAGGCTTTGCCACCTCCCCCTCCTATTCCGCCACATATTGTTCCGATTCAGGCCGCTGACCAGGTCCCTGCTGAGTCAGCTAAGAAGAAAATTGTCCGTGTCCCGATGGCTAGGCGCAACCTCGGAACTAAAGGGCAAAAGATACCCCTGCTGACTAACCACTTTAGAGTTAAAGTGTCCAATGTTGAGGGTCATTTCTTCCATTATAGTGTATGTTTACTATATTTTCCACGATGTTCCTGTCTTTTCTTTTTGGCATTGTACAGGGACCAACATTTTTTAACTTATTTGTTTATTTTGTTGTATGAAAAAAGGTCGCTCTCTCTTATGAAGATGGCCGTGCAGTTGATGGAAAGGGTATTGGAAGGAAGGTAATTGACAAGGTCCATGAGACGTACCGCAGTGATTTGGCTGATAAGGAATTTGCCTATGATGGTGAGAAGAGCTTATTTACTGTCGGGCCTCTTCCCCGTAACAAGCTCGAATTCACTGTTGTGCTTGACGATGTCTCAGCTGCAAGGTAGACATGCCTGGGGATGTTTGATTAATTTCCTTTTTGCTATATATTCTGTGCCCTATTTAACTTGTTTTGGTTCAGGAGCAACGGCAACCGTAGTCCTGATGGTCATGGTAGCCCATCCGAGAATGACAGGAAGAGATTGCGCCGACAGTACCAGTCGAAAACATTTAAAGTGGAGATTAGCTTTGCTGCAAAAATTCCGATGCAAGCCATTGGAAATGCTCTGCGTGGTCAAGAATCTGAGAATTCCCAGGAAGCCCTACGGGTGCTGGATATCATATTAAGACAACACGCGTCGAAGCAGTGAGTGAATCATGTTTTGTCTTATCCCATCAACCCCGTTTTATGGACCATTTTTCTTATTCTTACATGTCAAACTTGGCTGTGTCGATGAATCGCGATCACTGCAGAGGATGCCTACTTGTACGCCAATCCTTTTTTCATAACGATCCAAAGAATTTCGTGGATGTTGGAGGTGGAGTTCTTGGCTGCAGAGGATTCCATTCAAGTTTCAGGACAGCCCAAGAGGGACTGTCCTTAAATATCGGTAACATGCTTTTCTTTGTTTTTCTGTATTTTTTGTAACTTTACTGTTTTCTTCATTCTATCTTTTGTCTTTCTCCAGATGTATCGACTACTATGATCATTCAACCTGGCCCTGTTGTGGATTTCTTGATTGCCAATCAGGGTGTGAATGATCCTTTTTCGCTTGACTGGAATAAGGTAATCAACATTTGTCTATTTAGTATTTCTGTTCTCATTTGCTCTGACATTTACTCTTTAAACAGGCGAAGCGGGCCCTCAAGAATTTGAGGATTAAAGTTAGTCCTTCCAATGCAGAGTACAAAATAACAGGGCTGAGTGACAAACCATGCAGAGAACAGACGTATCTTTCTTATCTCTTCTCTCATTACAATGTTTTCTTTTTGTTCTTCCTGTCATGCTTAATTAGCCTGTTATTTCTTATGTTGTTGTCCTGTTGACCTTATTTTTCATGTGGTTTTCCGGTACTTGTTTTTGTTTTCTTTGCTGTGCTCGATAATTCTTGTGCTCACTTGTGACCAGGTTCTCTCTGAAGCAGAGAGGTGGGGATGATTCTGAGCCTTTGGAGGTGACTGTTTATGACTATTTTGTCAATCACCGCAAGATGAATTTGCAATATTCTGAAAGTCTGCCATGCATCAATGTTGGGAAGCCCAAACGGCCAACCTTTTTCCCTCTCGAGGTAACTTGTTATCTGTAGTGCATTTGTGTTGATGCAACAAATAAGTTTGTTAGTTTAGATCACAATTATATTTTTCCTTTCGTTTTCTAGCTCTGCTCTCTGGTATCTTTGCAACGCTATACAAAAGCGCTCTCCACTTTTCAAAGAGCTTCACTGGTGGAGAAATCTAGGCAGAAGCCACAGGAGCGGATGTCAATCTTGTCCAATGTGAGTATCGTTTCTTATTCTTTTATCACTTCTAATACGTGCATTTTTCATTAAGTTTCTTGAATTTGAATGCAGGCTTTGAAGCGTAACAACTATGATGCTGAGCCAATGTTACGTTCTTGTGGTATTGCAATCAATAACAATTTCACTCAGGTCGAAGGACGTGTTCTGCCTGCTCCTAAGGTATTTACTATTATGTTGAGAAATGATAACTTGTCAATTTGAATTCTTATTTGTTATCTATTTATTTATTCTGTGGATTAGCTTATAGTGTTTCCTTTCATTGATTGTTTCTTACTCTGAACAGTTGAAAGCAGGCAACGGGGAGGATTTTTTCCCCCGGAATGGTAAATGGAATTTCAATAATAAGGTGTTTCTTCACGCCCCATTTATTTCTGTTTGTTTGTTTTAAAAATTTGGTGCTCTTGATAACTTACAAATACTTGTGCAGAAACTAGTGCAACCAACTAAGATAGAAAGGTGGGCTGCGGTTAACTTTAGTGCACGTTGTGATGTAAGAAGCCTTGTTAGTAATCTCATCAAGTGCGGGGAGATGAAGGGTGTCGTAAGTAATTGTTTTTGTATGCATTTCTTCCGCAGATAATCAAGTAATTGATTTGACGATGGTTGATTTCTTTTTTTGACAGCTCATGAAGGAACCTTTCGATGTCTTTGAAGAACCTGGAAATTTAAGACGTGCCCCGCCCTTGGTTCGAGTGGAGAAAATGTTTGAGGAAATTAAGTCTAGGCTTCCTGGGCAACCGGAGTTTCTCCTTTGTTTGCTTCCAGAGAGGAAAAACTGTGATCTTTATGGTTGAGATTTAGTTGTCCTTTAAGTGATTCACAGTTTTTAATTTTACTCGTCTGTTTCTTTTTTTGGTTTGAAAATTGTTTTTTTCTGTCCTTTTTGTTCTTGATAAACAATGTATCTATTCTTGATTTTTATTCCATCTCCCAGGACCCTGGAAAAGGAAGAATCTTTCTGAAGTTGGAATTGCGACTCAGTGCATTGCTCCTACAAATAGGATCAATGACCAATACCTAACCAACGTGCTTCTAAAGATAAATGCAAAGGTACTGTCTACTCTATGCGAATGTCTTCAGTCAGTCTTTGCTCATTGTTTTTCTTTGGTTATTGTGTTTTCCTATGGTCTCAAATCTTAAATTCTTGCAGCTTGGTGGGTTAAATTCAATGCTAGCTATTGAACGTACTACTATGATACCTCTGGTTTCCAAAGTTCCAACAATTATCCTGGGAATGGATGTCTCACATGGCTCTCCTGGGCAGTCTGACATACCATCGATAGCTGCGGTATCTTGTTCACCATTACTTTCATTATCTCCTTAAGGCTATAGTACAGAAGCAGCTGTGTTTTCAAAAATATATTAGACATACTACCATCATGTGATGTTTGACAAAAGCATCTTTCTGACTATTAATTTTCATGTAAATCCCTTTCTTGAGTCCGTTTATAGACTTTTTTGTGATCAAAGGGGTAATTGTTTTCAAGTTGATACCACTGACTCCAATTATAAGTTAACTGTATATATTACATTTCTTTTTGTTTTGTATAAAAAGAAATGCAGAATCACATTTCTGGCATGATTCGTTATGTTGTAATTTGTAGAGGGGAAATGTGACCCACAAAAGAGATTTTTTGTTGTTTGCCTAAGAAGTTTGTGTCTAAACTTTCAACATTCATGATAAAGTTAAATTTGATGTGTTATCTACTTATTACGTTAATACTTGAGCTTTTAATAATAGGTGGTTAGCTCTAGGGAGTGGCCGTTGATTTCACGTTACAGGGCTGCTGTTCGCACACAATCACCCAAGGTGGAAATGATTGACTCACTGTTTAAGCTGGTATCTGAAACTGAGGATGAAGGTATCATGAGGTAGGAAGTGTGTCATGTATGTTGGATTTAATGATCTGTTTATGCATCATCGCTCTTTTTGTAAAACCAAGGATGGAGGTGCATTTAAGATGCTTATCTTAAAGGTATTTGTTATGAATATTGGCTTACCGTTGTTTCCTTCCATCTTCTGGGATGGTGCTAAATAATGTTTGTTTTCTTATAAGATAAAGAATATTACAGAATGCCGAAGGAATTTGTCCTAATAAAATGCACATTCCTTGAGATTTGATGGTTTTAGCTATATGGTTCTTGGTATATTTTTTGGTTAGTGCCAATGTGATGCATGCTTTTTAATTTCAGGGAGGTTCTACTGGAGTTCTATACCAGCTCAGGAAAACGGAAACCTGATCAGATCATCATTTTCAGGTATCTGTCTTGAGTTATTGAGTAGAGTATACTGGTTGTAGTTATATGACCTAATGGTGTTTGAAGCATTTGACCTTATGTTTCATTTATTTATTTATTTGTTACCATTATTATTATTTTGCCTTTGAAAATACATTTTATTTCTTTGGGTCCAAATCCCTGTTTTAGTGTATATGGTGTGCAATACTGCTTACAGTTAAAAGCAAAGGACGTTTTAATTTATGTTGTACGTAGCTTCTCGGAGTCACAGCACCTTTCATATGTACGTTAGGTACGAGGGCTTCCTCTCCCTCTGTCTCATGACCCGGAATGTATAGTTGTTGTTTGAAACGGCATGTGTTAAGCATGAAGTTTCAAACAATGACTATACATTCTTTCTTTCCGGTATGGAGCCGACGTCGGTCAAGTATAGCATGTCAAGTTAATAGAGGTTTAACTCTCTATCCAACCCGACGACCAGGTTCATCTAATCAATCAGAGCCGTCTTGTCTTCAAGCTGTGGCTGCTGCTGTTATACCGAGAGTAAATGGCCTTAAGTCGTAAAAATTTTGATCCAAAGGTTGATTATGTGGGTCGTGTTACAAGTGTTATCTTTAGTTTCATAAATTAGTTTTGGTTTGTCATTAGAAGTTTTGAAGTCTTAACAATCTGCAATTATATGCTATATTGTTTGTTTTTTCTCTTGTAATTTTTCTATGTATTGCAGTTCTGCTGTTTGTTTTATATTCTATAGGGAAGTCTTTTCATTTACTGCCTAGTTTACTTGCGCTTCTGCAATTTTCATATCAACTGTTTGCCTAACAAATTTAGGGATGGAGTGAGTGAATCGCAATTCAACCAAGTACTGAACATCGAGCTTGATCAAATCATTGAGGTCTTAAGAGCTGCCCATATCTTTTGAATTCCGCCTTAATTTTGGAATGATATTAACTTCTAAATTTCTTTCAGGCGTGCAAGTTTCTGGATGAGAATTGGAACCCTAAGTTTGTGGTGATTATTGCACAAAAGAATCACCATACAAAGTTCTTCCAGCAACAATCTCCTGACAATGTTCCACCAGGTACTTTTCTTAGAGATGGGGCTCAACTTCATGCGAAATAATTGTATTTGTACATATTTTTCTTCAAACAACCACTTTTGTTTTTTTTTGGTTTTTTTTTTTTTTAAATAAATCAACTCGTATCTAAATTCTTTTGTCTTCTCAGGAACCATTATAGACAACAAAATTTGTCATCCGCGGAACAATGACTTTTACCTTTGTGCACATGCTGGCATGATTGTAAGTTTATTCACTTTTTTTTTCTCATTTCAAAATTTGCTCTATGCTTCAATAGGTTCTGCCGTATTCTTTTTTCCCTTTAGACGATTGACTTTATTCAACTTTCGCTTTTCTGTTAAGGGGTATTCTTTTTTCCTTTTAGACGATTGACTTTATTCAACTTTCGCCTTTCTGTTAAGGGGACAACGAGGCCTACCCATTATCATGTTCTGTATGATGAGGTTGGGTTTTCAGCTGATGATCTGCAGGAACTTGTTCATTCTCTCTCATATGTGTAAGTGTACATTCTACTAGATATTTTTGTTTCAATTGATTAAAAAGCTATACAACTGTTCAATAACCCTCTAAATCATATTTGTGACTGCAGTTACCAGAGAAGCACAACTGCCATTTCTGTCGGTAAAATTCTTACTCTAGCTGACGGGTGTTTTTTCGTTGAATCCATTATGCAAATTGTTGGCGACTCTTGACCTTTTTAAATTTACTGACTAAACTTGTAAATTTTGTTACTCTATTTCTGCAGTTGCCCCGATCTGCTATGCCCACCTGGCAGCCTCCCAGGTGGGGCAATTCATGAAATTTGATGATAGCTCCGACACGTCGTCGAGCCATGGCGGGCTGACGGCTCCCGGAGTTCCCCCTGTGCCCCAACTCCCCAGGTTGCAGGAAAATGTGTCCAACTCAATGTTTTTCTGCTGAGGCAGTTGGCTCTCTGATCCGAGCTTTAATTTGACGCTTTTGAAGACTCTTTTATATGTACATATAAATTTCCATGGTTTTTGGTATGGCCAAACCACCTTTTAAAAGTTTGAACTACTCGTAAAAGCCTTGGTATTTTTGATGTTTTAAGGCCATCAACTACTAGGTGGAACTAGTGGGTGACTTGCAATTCTAGGTGGTAGCAGGTGTTTACCATGGTTATGTTTCTAGTGGTAAATTAAGTGTTATGATGACTGACATCTGATCTGTTTCTATATATATATATATATATATTTGAACTGTTTTCTCCTAATCTTCTGCCCAAATATATATACATATATATATTTGATTTTTTTTTTGGGGGAACTTAGCAATGTGGTGATTCGAACTCCAGACCTTGTGAGGAGTCGTTCACTCATTGTGGTCAGTGTATGTTGTTTACAAGTAGTCTTTTTTGGAAAGTTGAGTGCAAGTAGCGTGTTTTTCTTAAAAAAAAAAGAAAAAAGAGAGAATGGTTTTGACAATTATATTGAGATTTTGAAAGACTCTATGGCCATCAATTCTTTTAGAAAGATATGTTAATTTGAAGGTCTTTTGTATTCTGCTCTTGCTATGTCTTCCAAGACCGAAGATAGGTCCAATTAGAAAAATGTTGTTTGGAATATATTGAATATGTAATATCCTTCTGCATGAAAAATATACGAGACATCAATCTCTTATAAAGATACACTTGGGACTTGGAAAAACTTTTGACGTTAAATTGTGGTATTGGAATAACATTAGTTGGGGTATGGTAAAAGCTTTTTGTTTTAGGATTTTAACTTTTAAGATGAGGAAAAACCTCATCTTGCAAGTTGCAGTCTTATTCAGTCAATTAACCAAAATCACATTACAATATTTTGGTTCAGAAAATTTGTTAAATCTTTCTGTCCAACACACTGAATGTCTGTTAAGCATGTAAAAGCTCCAGTTGTTGAAGATAAATTAAGGTGCTTTCCATTAGAAATACTACAATACAACTGTTAATAGGATGATGATATGTTCGGAAAGGACTCAAATTGATAACATCTTCTTTGGGAATTTTTAAGGTGGAGCAAGTTGTTTTGCTTCACTGGTGGAGACTATTTTTACCGTTCGATAAATTTTTTTTAACGGTCAGATTTGCAGTATGAGCAGTTTTGTGTGGCGCGCTGTAAATTTTTAATACGGACTTACACAGATATGACCGCTTAGAAAATAATCTAACGGTTAAAAATAATTGTTCTTACTGAAAATCACTTTTAGTGAAGTGGCAGACAATCTACTATTATACTTTTTGACTAAGACGCAAGAAAACAAAGCTTCTGATTTTGAATTTAAAATTTCGTTTACCTTGTTAAATCTGCTCTATCTTTCTTAATTGAATTCTGGTAACTTCAAAGATGTCCAAATCTTTTCAAAGATTTAAAATTAGTGTTATCTAAGATAATCCTTATCCAAAATAATCCTTTGATTTTCTTCACATCTTCAAATCCTTAAATCTTCTCCAAATCTTCGAATTTTTTGTAGACATATAATGTTTTTACTTATAAGTAGTGACCTCATTTTTTTTTTCTTGGAAGCTATAAATTTATGCTTTATGAGTTATTTTAGCAGTAAATGAGTCTGGACTTGAAATATATTTGTGAAATAATCGATGTGGGTACGTGCCATTTTCATGCTTTGTTTGTGATATTCTCCTACTGTTTCCATATGAAGTTTGCTTTTAAAGAGAAAAAGAGGTAGAAGTTAATTAATTCTCCAAACAATCCATAAAAGAAGGAATCTATCTCCTAGTGATCACCAACGTTCATATTTACACAAAAAGCACAGTGTGACATAATCATACTCTAATTAACTTCTGTCGGGTCAAAAGAAATTTCTCTTTATACGGTATATTTGTTATACCGGTGCTCATAATAAATATTATGCACTCTTTAGTCAAGACTCAATAAACAAAATGGCTAGCAAAACTAAAATATTCGGAAAGGAATATCACAAAGTGCCTCCAAATTCAAGTAAAATTGAATTATATTTGTGATTGCACTATCAAGAATCACAAAAAGCATCCCCTTTCAATGAGTTTTGGGAGGGATAAGCATTAGAGTGATTTTACTCACACCCCCTTTTTTACTTTCTATATCCCTTTTAACTACACCCCCCATAATTTCCAAATGATTAAATTTGCTTTTTACACACCTCAATAATTCTAAAATCAACCTTACCTATTTTGATAAAGATTAATTTTTTGACCACTTTATTTTTCTCTTCACACACACCCACCATTTTATTTTAATTTATTATTTTAAAAAATAAAAAATAAACCAAATGGCATAACAACTCAAAAATAATAATTAAGTTGAACAAAATGGCAAAATAATTTTTCCTAAGAAAGGGCAAATCATCATCTTATATTAATACGTATGATTAGAAAAGATAAAATGGTAAAAAAAAAAAAATTCCAAACTTGTTAAGTAGCACATGAGCATGGAAAAAAAATGAAACAAAAAAGAAAAAAGAAAAAACGCAGTAAACTTAACTTTATAAAAGAAAAAGAGAAAAAAAAAAAAGAAGGGATTGGTCTTAAAAAACAAAATGATTGGCAAAAAAGATATAAACATGAAACAAAAAAATGTAAATGAACACGTACTCCAAAAAAAAAAAAAGTACATACTTCTATGGAACGTTTTGGAATAATCATTAAAGAGTAAATTAGGGTTTTATTATATATTGCACAATAATAAGATTTATAATTTGGAGATATGATATGTGGGGTGCGTGGAGAGAAAAAAATTATCATTAAAATTTTTTTTTGTAGTATAATTAATTAAGCATGTAAGTCTATCATGAATGTCCTTTTTTGTCATTTTATGTGCGGGTTTTCTTGGAATAAAAAATTTTAATTGAAAGGGGGGTGTAGAAAGAAAAAAGGGGGTGTGAATAGAACCATCATAAGCATTATCTTATTATGAATTCTATTTTTGGCATAAATTTTTGAATGAGTTTTGGAAGAAAAGACTAAACACTATTTTAGGATGGTTAGTCTCAAAGATTTGAAAGAAAAAAAAAAATGATTTCACAATGATTCTTGAGAAAATTGTATCCAATGATTGTGTCTTTCCCGGATACAAAGAGTGATAGGGATCTCCAATGAAACTTTGAATTGTATCGTATTGGTTCAAAAGATTCAACACAAAAGTCGCTTGAATTATATATATAATATATATACACACATATAATATTCATATTGCAAAATGGAGAACGTTTTATAAAAATATACAAAATGACAAAGGATAAGGCTAATAATTTGATGTGACATACATGTATTATGAATATAGTTACTAGTATTTCATATCTGTTCATATCCGAGTTTTTTTTTTATTTTTTTATTTTTTTATTTTTAAATTTTGTCATTCTTTATTTTGTTTAAAACTATCCTAAAAAGAAAAAAAATCAAATTAAGTTTTTTTTTCTTCTTTTTTATTATAAATTTTGTCATTCTTTTTGCATAAAAAAAAGAAAGACTAATTGTATATATCTAAAGTATATTCTTCTATTGGTTTACATGCGTTTTTTAACACCTCTGTTAGGGTTAAAATCAACACTACAATAATCATTGTACACATGGACATCATTTGAAAAGATGTGTCGACTGGAATTGACTGGAAATAAGATCGACTCGAGAAACCATGACGACTGGAGACGAGTGACGACATGAGAAATGTGGAGATCACCGCAGTTATTTAAAGAAGAATGATTACAAAGATTAATTCGGCCAAATCCTACATTAAAGGGTCAAATCGGATCACTATTAAAGAGAAGAGATACTAGAAAGTAAATATGGAAATAAAAAAAGGGAAAGTCAACTCAAAAGGAAAGGGGAACTGCTTATTATAGTCGACAACATGGCAGCTTGAGAGAAAAAGAAAACTTGAAGGTCATCTCCTATAAATAAAGGAAGAGGATAACAAATTAATGTTCTTGGAATCTCCATACTACGCTGAGACTCTCTCTCTAAATCCCCTCTTCTTTTCTCTTCTCTTCTTGTTATCCATTATAATTATACCTTTTACAAGAGATAGTGAAACCCCTGAGACCATACAGTAGATGTAGCCTTCACATTGGAGGTGAACCACTATAAATTCGCATGTTCATTTATTTTTCTGCACTTTAGATTCTTGTTCTAGCTATATATCGATTCACCAACACGATCGCTACTCAGGAGTGGCCATTGGCCCTCTAAATAAATTTAATTGTAGAATCTGACCTCTACAACCTCTAAACAGTCCTATTTTTTAATATTATTTTATATGTTGCAGAACTTTGATTAAAAAAAAGTAAAATAGATACTTTTATTACTGCTTTGTTTAATTTAATTTTTTTGGGTTTCACGAGGCTACGAAAATTTTAATCTGATTCAACAATTGATCTTCCAGAAAAAAGGTTAGTGTGGTTTGTAAATCTCTCACTCAGAGTGGCGTTGTTGCAAAGTGTACCAACAATTCTTTAATGAGGAAACGAATAACTAATTTTGAATAAACAAAACTTATCTCCGATGTATTAACACAAGTACATAACGTAATTTCCTTAACAATAAAAAAGATCAATTAACAATTTTTTCATGAGGGAATTATTCATATAGTAAAATAATCAATTAAGTTCGTTAATAAGAGGAGAGCAGGTGAACCGACCAATATGTGTTGATCCAGTCCTGCATGAAGCTGTTTTAAGCTCACGTATTCCACCTATATATATATATATGCGTGTATATATACTCCCTAATATGTTTCATATCCATTATATTGATTTTTTTTCCATTTTTGTTGATATATCCATTTGTATTAATGTCTAGAGTATTATATGAGCTATATATATATATATATATATATCATGATCCAATTTCTTAAAAAGACACACTCATACAAGGAAATTAGGATCAAAGATCAAATAACACCAAATACATGCGCAAATTCCAATCTAAAAATCTATTATCTATTGTTATCCAAAAGATAACGATAATTTCCCATTCTAAAATTGGTTCAATTCATCTTTTTTTGCTAAGCAACTATTCTTATTAATAGGAGTACTT